GGTGTTTCGATCCATTATTAACTGACACAGAGGAGTCACCTACCCCGGTGTACTCACGATCAAACCTGTGATAGAACTTCTGAACCACATGACCAAATTTCCACACAGTTGACACTGAGGTCGATTAGAATTATTAAAACAACCACGGCCTCTACCACGGAAGCTATCACTTTGTTGACTCCTTACTGGATTAGATTGAGACTGGATATTACCAGCCATGGAACTCGATTCTTGAGAGTCCTTATCATCAGAGCGAGTTGCCATATTAACAGATGCACTCTCACATAGAAAAAATTTCTGTCGAGCTTCACAGTCAAGAAGCATTTCGGTTAAAACATCTAACAACAACGAATCACGCGAAGCTATAGCAATGACAGACTCAAATTCCATGGATAATCTAGCTAAGAGAACACTGACGTGTTCTTGTTCAGTTACTAAACTCTCTGCAGCATTGAGCATGTCGCAAATGGATTTTACCTTGGCTAGATATTCGCTAACTGTTGAGCCAGCCTTTCTTTGCGAATGAAGACTATGTCGAAGAGCAATCACCTTCGCACTAGGCCTTGCACCAAACAGTCTTGTGATGGAACTCCAAATGGTGAGTGTGGATGTCAAACCAGTGAGATGAGAAAGGACTTCCGTACTTACTGTGGTTAGGAGCCAAGAGGCTAACAATTTATCTTGTTGCCTATAAACCACAAAAGCGGGATTTTCTTCTTCCTGTCTTGACTCGTTCACAACAGTCTCACTCGGAGCAGAAGCATCATTAGACACATATTTCAACAATCCATATCCATCAATAATCAACATTACTTGATGTTTCCACAAGAGATAGGTAATTTCAGACAATTTCACAATATCATGCTTAGGAATATGTTGAACTGTTAAACTAGCCAAAGAGGAGGCCATAGGAAGGTAACTAGCAAGAAATCAACAAGAAGTTGAGTAGAAAACACCTTACCACCTACTCACAATGCTCCAAGAGTTGCAACTACCAAGAAGAACCAAGCTTCCACGCATCACGCAAAGTAAAAGGAAAGAAATACCGAGCAGCGGATAGCATGATACTCCGGATCGTGGCGAATGATACCATGTTATAGTTTCACTGAGATACTCAACAGAGGCAAGAAGGAATAACAAAACAGGAAAACAAGATTACTGAATTCACTTCATTATGTGATATATCTTCTCAATCACAAAGAGCTATATTTATACAATTGATAGAAGTAGTTCTAGAAACTCTAGTGGAAGCTTTAGCAATCTCAACTGTTAACCAACTGCCTTAATTAATTCTAACAAACTAACAGTGAGATGCCAACTAATCAACCGACTCATTCTAGAACAATGCACACTAACACGTATAAGAGTTGTGAAAATAGAGATGAAGTTCATAAAAAATGTGAAAGAAACATATCTAGGCATGGGTGGGGACTTTAAAGAAGGGGATGGGTCCGGGGACTTTAAAGAGAGGAAATCTCGAGAGACATGTTTACCAGAGTAGGGGGAAATGGGATCATTAGAAAAAGGAATAAATATCATTAACAACAAAACACAAAGGAAATGTTCCTCTTTTGCTAAAGCAGTGTCTCGTGCGAAGGGACCACAATCATCACCGCCCCATCCCATTTGCACCTAATTGAGTTGATTTCTTTTTACAATCCAGGAAAAAAAAAAAGAACTGAAGTTTGTCCCTTCTTCCTATATAAACACTTGGTATCATCGCAATTTCTCATCACACACAAGTTAACGCGAAACATTAGCTGCTGCCATGTCTTCCTCACGAAAACTCATCTCTATGCTCTTCCTCTTTGCCTTCTTCGCCATGCAGATCCATGCCAGGGAATTCTTCAGCAAAATCCCAAGGGTTAGCACCAATGAGAAAGAGACAACGAAGACAACAAGAGAGCAAGAGCATGGGACCGAGACCACCCAAAAGACAGAAGAGCAAGAGCCAAGGTTTGTTCCCGAAACCCAAAATGGTTATGGCCTTTACGGGCACGAGACAGGCGCAGGCGAGCCCAGTTTCACCACAAAAGAAACATACGAACCCTATGTCACCCCTGTTAAATACCATCCCGATGAACCCTACAACAGCATTCCCGAAACCGGCTCCAACAACAAAAAAACTTACTACTACAACAAGAACGCCTACGAGTCCACTGAGAAGCAAAACTTGGGCGAGGCCAGCTTCACTGAGAAACGATGGAGCACCAAGAAAAACCAGAACAACAACTACAATAGCAACAACGGTGAGAGACAAGGCATAAGCGACACTAGATACTTCGAGAATGGAAAGTACTACTATGACATCAAGAGCGAGAACTATTACCCAAACCAGTTTCAGAACTCAAGGGTAGTTGCTTCGAGGAACGAGTTCAATGAGAATCGTTACAACAACATGGGAAGATACAACCAGAACCAAGAGGACTTCGAGGATACCGAGGAAGAGTTCGATCCCTGATCAGCTGCCGCATACTGCTCTAAATTTGATGTATGATTGGTGAAGATCACCATGCAATACAAGCACTGGCTTTAATTAGATGTCAAGTATGGTAATTAATTAGCAAAAACAATGAAGAAGATAAAATTTTATTTACCGAGTCTTGCTGTCATTTTCTTGTGATGTATTTTTTTTCTGGTTATAGTTCCGTTGCTATGAAATGCTCAAGGTTGGAATGAGTTATGTTCATTTTTTCCCTTCTTAACTTTATCAAACAAAAATAAGATTCAAAAGCTTAAACCTTCATGATAATGGAACAACAAATACATGGCGTCTTTTATACAGCTAGTTTAATCAAGTGTGGGTGATCCCTACATGGATTAAAACGAATTCCAACAGCCATAAACCAAGGAAAGTGTATAGCTGGCTATAGTTGTGTACCACTTCCTTGTGATGATACAAATAGCCCCCTCCTCCCTTATGCTTTGAGGTAAACAGCTGAGCACTTTCAAGTAATTAATCACTATTTGCACTAATAGGTAAATGCAAACCCACTCAGCATAATAAAACTGCAGGTGTCTTGGTCTATTCTCAAATATTTTTTGTTCATGGTTTTTAATTAAAATTTCAATTGGTTTGTCATCTCCCTGAATGACGGGTATAAATTGGGCTTTTTATCTCTTTTGTCCAACTTTATTAGTGTTCTCAAGCTCTAGCCTTTAGGGATCATCTGTCTTTTTGACTTATAATATATGTATATGAACTCATATGTCGGTGTGGAATGTTCATAACAGTAAAGATAATTGTTAGGGTTAGTTTCAGACCCTTAACAAAATGAACATGTTGATAGAAAGTTGGGGGCGAACCCATCTAAAGATGACAAGGGGTGCCCTACCAGAAGAATGTGTAGGTAGGTACATTTCTTTAAGTTGGAGCTGTAATGCCAGAAAGCGAAGCGGATAAATTTACCATTCAAGTTTTCTTTGATCGGAGATCATTAATAAAATTAAAGCAATCGGACAAATATAAAGAATGGCCCAAATTGCCAGGCATAGACTCGACCCAGGCTCCAGTAGTCCACCAGGACCAGTACCCATTGATTCTTTAAATCGTGTAAATCTTGAACTTCAGTCCATAATTTAATACAATACATTTATTATATATTTTCTTCTTAATGTTCCTATTTCCTAACAACATCCATTTTTATGCTTAGTTCACCCTACATTTGAGATTTTCTTCATTTTCATATTTCATTTTTAATTACTTTATTGGACATGAAATTGGTAATATGTTTCAATGTGTCACAATAGCAATAGATTTTTGATATAGTATGTTACTTTCTTCGTTTTTCCCTTATTGTAAAACGACGGTCCTTCAACACTTAAGACAGCATGTAAAACGCCTTCAATTCCCCCATGCAATCCAATTTTTCTAACAGTCTCTCTACAACCAGAAAAACAATGGTCCTTTCATTAACGCCGAAGATGATTGACGTCATGCAGTCAGGGTAACAAAGTACTGAAAAGCAAACGAAAATAGTGGAGTTTTAAATTCATCTCATAATCCATATCAATGCCTGAAAATTCTGAGCTGAAGTCTCAATAACGTGAAAGTTAAATGACAAATGAAGAAAGAAATAATAGAGGTTGTGAAGTTAATGATTCTAACAACCAAAACATTGATTGATTTCAACTTTTTAACTCCAAATTATTCTGTGCTTTTAAGTCAGTTTTGCAGAATATAAACTTTCCCCTGAAATATGAAACCACAGCTTTCTTTTGGTCTCGTGTTCCCGTCAAGACCTGTTTCTCTTTAAGTTTCACCTGTCAGCAATGCCTTCCATTTACTTCTAAACCAAACCCCCTGGACTTAAATTTCAAGGAAACTGATCAATCAATGCCTGGCTTAAAAATTTGGTTAACAAGTAAGAATCATTTCAACAAATTTTGCTATTTAATGGTTTAGGTTCCTTCCAAAATGCAGTTGTTCCGATTCGAGGGAAAGCTGAACAGAGTAGTACAGATCAAATAGAAAATGAGTGAGGAGTTGTGAATAGACAAGCCAACAAGAATCCCATTTTCTTTTTGTTGTCTAGCTTTTTTTTAATTAGTATGATGACTCCATTTATGTGATGAACTTCATGGCATACTGAAACACCACATTTCATTACTTTTGAAAGGAAAGAAATTAAAATAAATTTTGAAAATGAAAACCCCAATAAGGAAATACTAGAATAGTGTCCCAACAGGCTAATATCACTGATTTTCTTGCTTCCTGCAATATTCTGAATGCTGGTTTAGTTTCAACACTCATTTAGCAGAAAAACGGAGTTGAGTTCACATCTTCGTCTAATTTCCCTGACATGAGTCCTGTTTCTTTAGTGCGTGGGGGAAGTACTGCTGGCAAATTACTATTCATGATTACTGATTAATACCTAACGGTATGCAATATTACCAACCCCTTTGCCTGTCCATAGATAAATGGAAAGAGATTTTTGAAGTATGGCGGTAAGTTAATGGTTAAAATGTTGTTATTAATGACTAAACAGATGTGATTATGTGACCAAATTAAGATAATGAAGTAGAAAATTTGGCTTATATTAATCAAGTCTCTCATGTGATTTGCAAAGCTGAAACACATCTCCCCTGGGGTCCATTTCATTAATATTTCCTTGTTTAAGGAAGAAACTCTCAGATGAGCCAATCCAAGACCAGGCGCTCTTATTAACCATCTTAACAGTCGGTCACAGGGATTTTGTATTCCAGGTTGCCATTATATTTTGTGATCTTCATCTTCATTTATTCAGTGCCATTTTGATTCCAATTATTCTTTTTTCTCTCTTGCTATTCGAGAGCTCAAGCCATGGCCGCTGAGGTAATAAGCATTCTTCTTCTTATGTGCTTTCTTTCTGTTGATCATGCGTGCGCAATTTTTCATGAATTTTTGTTCCGATTGTTCAAGAATCTGTTTCCTTATTTTTCTTGGGTTCTTGCTTATATCCTGTGTGGTTGGGAACAGAAAGTAACGAGATTTTGGTCTCTGGTAATGCTGAATGTCACCGCTCTTGTAGTAGCAGTAAACCACCGTTACTTCAATTTCTGCTGTTTACTAGAAAGAGATAGGGATAAGAGCAATCTAAAATTTGAAACTTTTTCGAAGTGTCACTTTGGAGATATAAAAGTGTTTTTTCAGGACTTTTTTCTCATACTGATTCATGAGGTTTTATCTCAGTGCCCGTCTCTGGTTAGTACTGATCCGTGATTTCCGCCGACAGTATTCCTTTCTGGAAGAACTTATATGAAAGTAGAGAGTGGAAACGGCGTCGTTAGAAGAAATTCATGGTCGGTGCCTCTTAGAATTTAATCCATGCTTTTTGATATTCTTACAGCATCATATGTCAAATGCCGCAGTTAGAACTGTTGGTGTTTGATGTAAGAGAACGGGTGAGAAATCTTCATGGGATCTTAAATAGTTACTTTGTTTCATCAGAATGGGACGGTCTTTTAGCTTGTGTTTGAAGGTGAAACTGACTTTTCTCCCCCCCCCCCCCCAAAAAAAACGAAGGTGAAACTGACATTTAAGCAGGAAAATCAGGCAGTAAAATGTCAAAAATTTCAGGCAGTAAAATGTCAAAAATTTTCGAGTGTTTTAAACTTTTCAATTGTGCCAAGGTCTTACCTGCCAACATTGCCATCCATCCCCCACATGGCTTTTTAACAAACTTCCCTTGTTCAATCTCTTTCAATTTTACCCATTTTTGCCACACAAAAAAACTAAATCCTTGCCCATGATAATCAATTCGAAGTTATGATTTGCTATTATATTTGAGAACGATAAACAATGCACATTTGAGAGCTAAATGTTGAATTGATTAATATCCCCAGAATCGTGAGACGTCCAATGGGTGGCCACTTGGGCTACAAATAATGACCATGAGGCTTGGGTTACAAGAACGATACCAGGGTGCTGCTCCAGCGGTGGAACCATATTCTTTGCACATTCCTTCAAGCAGCTTCTCCTCATTCTCCTCTTCTAACCTTGACATCGAGGTAATTCCAATCCCTTGCAATGAATATATACTACCTTGTAATCACATCAGTTTAAGGGGGGAAAACCTGACTAATTCCAATCCCTTGCAACGAATATATATAAATATTTACCAATATATATGATCTTCCATGGCCAGTCCTCGGCTTCATTTTTCCAGGATAGCAGTGTATCTCTAGGGAAGCTAATCGGACATGGAGCAGATGAGGGAGGACCATTATATTTACAAAACACAATCCATACCCATCAAAGCAATAGGCAGTTACCGGTAAGAGGTGCCTGCAACTGCCGGTATGCATCCAGAAAACACAGTGCAGATACATCTCAGGGAATCTGCATTCCTCTCATACTAGGCGCCCTACTAAAGATCTCTAGAAACAAGATGAAGTCAAAGCGAGTGGATTGATTCCAATCTTCTATTAAATTCTTTTCTCCTCCTGGATATTCATAAATTAGTCATTAACGTTGTTTGTAACCTTCCAACAGCACTATCAAATTAATGTCGAGTTTGACAAATTCGAAATTTGAATGTTATTTTTTGTTTTAATATCATTAAGTTCAACATTGATTTCAAGCAAATACTGAAAGATAAAGAGCCCAGCTACGTTCTTGCTTGGCAAAAACCATCTTCCTGGTTTTGTACTGAATCAATACATGCTACCGTACACCATGAACCAAGATAGATCCCGAATCTCAGTTACAGAGGGGTCAGTAGTCAAGGCAACGGTTTGGCCCTCTATTCATGGTTAGTCTGGGAAAGCTTTGAAGCAAATATTCGAGGAAGAACAAACGAGCCTTGATAAAACTTTTAAAGTAACGAAGAACAACGAGCTTGATATAGAAAGATTTTAGTATCAACGCTTAAATTTCCAGATGCAATTCAATCACAAGAAAGATACAGTCTTCTACATGCTCGACTAGTACTTAAACTAGACTATTAGATGTTAAAAATTATAAAGCAGAAGACCAGCTACCAGCAAGATTTGTATACCAAGCCCAAGTACCCAACACCACACTGAAAATTGTACCACAATAGCATCTCAGCAACATTATGAAGAGTAAACGATTATCATCAGGCCAACTCATAAGACCTCCTTCGAGCATCTAGCAGCTTAGGTCCATGTAATCTCTATCATTCATCAACTACACTAACCAACTCATACTCCACAAGAGATAGATTGTTATCTTCTTTAACAACAAAGTTTGCAGTGTCGGTGACCTCAACAAGGCCCCATTTGTCAACTGCCAGCCTCATAGAACCCTTAAACATATCAATCTTTGCATTACGAAAAATGACAGTGTCACCAGGCTTCATCAAGTCAACTGAAAAATGATTCAAGCATCATTATGTTGTTTAGACTAAGTAGATTCAAAATGTTGATAATGAGAATACCAAATGCATTACCAAAAACATGAAGGATTTAAATGGAAATTAAATCCAATATCTGGTTTATTCAGTCACATTTAACGATTTGAACGCCAATTTTTGCAATCGTGAGCATGTGGCAATTAAGGATTTGAATGGAGAATCGATTCAATCACAATAAATAGAGTAAGAATTTAGTTCACCTTGCTTGAGGTTTATTCCACAAATCAAGGATTTAGTCAGGAAACTTGGTTCATGTAAAATCATTGATAGTTAGATCCTAGATTTTATCAAATCCACCCTAACACTAACAAAACAAAAGAGAAATATAAATAAAAGCTTCTGAAATGCGCTGTATACATATATGCAAAGCCAACCAAAAAAAAACAAAGGAAAGATCAAAGCTTTTGAATTGAAGGATGAAATAAAATGCACCCTTTTGAGAGAACTAAGATCAGATCGGTACAGCAGAAAACTTTTAAAGAAATAAAAAAAGGTGTTAGAAAAAAGGACCTTGATCATTACGGGCAGTGAAGAGGATAGTACCGGTCTCGTCTCCAACAAGGCACTCAGCGATGCGGGTTTGACGGAGATTTCGAGAAGGGGTTCGACCCTTTTGAAGGACCGTGTTTGAGGACAGTACCTTGGCGATTAAGGTGTGGCCATTGGTCCCTGGTTTTAGCTGATCTACTTTCACAAACACTGGCTTCCTCTTCTCTATTGTTCTATTTTGTTGCTGCTGCTGCCCTGTCGTCGCCATTGATTCAAATGTTGTTCTCCTCTCCTCTGTTTTCTGCTTTTCTTTATCCTTTACAGAGCCTGGGGAAGGATGAGAAATGGGAAAGCCCTATATGTGGAACAGAAATTGAACCGTTCCTATTTTTCTCCCATGACCAATACGATGGCGTTTTAGCTACTTTTGAAAGATTGAAGCCACTTTTTCCCCATGGATTCGTCTTATAACGAAATAATTTCACAATACTGAAAAATATTGTTTCGCCCTTTCATTAATGATTTAGTTAATTTTTCAAAGAATTTTTATTATGTGGTATAATTTTTCAAAGAATTTTTATTATAAGATAATATTTTTAATCAATAATTATAATCTGTCCATCAATAATTGACCATTAATATTATTGTTTAGTCAGATATTCATAGTCATTTTTTTTTATTAAATTTATCATTGATTGGTTAATTTAATTCATAATCGATAGCTTCAAGAACATGTCCAATAATAAGCATTTATTGGGTGTTACTTTGCCCTGAAAACACTGCATTCGTATTCATTTATAAATTTGTCTCCAGGCAAGTGCATTAAAGTTTGCTTAGTAGAACTAGAAACCTTCAAGCAGAATTCAGAAGAACGGGGCTTGTGCCTGCCTATTCAAGGTAATTTCAAATAAAAGGGTGTAACAGTACATGCTCACGTTTAGTTTTCAGAGCAGTACAAATAATGGGTATTTTTCCTCACATCAACATCATGCTTTCTTCTGACATTATTGATAGTAATGAATACTTAGCTTTAATTGAGATTCTGCCACCTTCTACAAAATGTTTGGCTCCAGTAACCACCCAATATCCAGGTGTGTCCTCAGCTCCTCTAACCATCTCCTTTGTGTCTACGAAGTTTGTCATTTTGGGTGCTTTTGGTGGTGAAGGTGGGGACCACCTGGAAAAACTGCTGAATTTAAGTCCACTTTAGTTGGTTTCTCGTTTGGATTCAGTCCTGAACTGAACCTTGTGCTGATCAACATTGAGAAGACTCCGGATTTCCGTGACTGTGTTGAGGGTCCGTCCCATTCTGATCTGCGGATCCTAGCGGAGGCCACCATGGAGAACCCAAGCCTCAGGAACAGAACTTTCCTCATCCCTACCACCTTTACCTCGAACCAAGCTTTGGTCACTATAGGAGCTGTATCATCAAAGTGGGATTCAATGCAGTGTACAGGGGCGTTGCATACATGTGAGAATATGCTCCACTTGACGGGTTCCAAGTACCCACGTTCTGGCTCATCGATCAACTCATAGCTGTGATCATCTGAGAGCTGCAGGGCTTTAGGGAGAGTTGAGAGATGCTGAAGATGGATTGCTAGATGGTCACTTTCTTACCCTCCAAGAATAGGCGTATACCTGTCTCAGGTCGATTTCCGGTATCAACCTGCAATAGAAGATTTGGAACTTGGGAATTGGTCAAATGAGAATAATCACATCACATGCATGAGTTCTGCGATGCATTTTAATCATGGCAATCATCCAGTGACATCATGAAGGCAATATTTCCTAAATTAGATGCGAAGGTCTGTCGACATCGTTCTCTAACAGGATAACTTTGCGTTGCTAAAGAGGGAAAGCATTCAAGTCATAATTTGAGTTAACGAAGACATCACTTTATCGACAAGTTCAGAAGCTTAGATGACAGATTAAAATAAAACGACATGTCAATTAACAATATAAATATCAATACTGTATCTAGAAAAGTAAAAATGTGATCGGCAAAATTTTACCCTTGCAGTATTAACATAAAGCTTAGGCCCCATAAAAGTGAACTGGAGTGAAGGGGATGCTTGTTTTCTGCGCTTGAGACCGAGAGGCAGATCGCAGTATATGGGAGCCCATTGTCAAGGTAATTGAAATTCTAGAAATAAATGGAGTTCCTCTATCGGTGGTTTATCTGCATGATATCATCAATCATTAGAGGCGAAAATCAGTGCACCATATAACAAAAAAGGTAATATTGATTTGTGAAAGCAATGATCTCTCGTATATACAAACTTTCACTCAAAAGGAAACCATTTTAATTTATTATAGATCTTCGAGAAGAATAAACAATCTCATCTTTTACAAGACTTGTAATTAGTACAAAGTGCCAAAGTACGAAACTGCAATTCGAAATCAAATAAATTCATTTTCGAAGTGTTAATATGGGAATGATCTAAATCCCAATTGACAAGGGAAGATCCAGTTTGCATAAATCACTCGTGCATAATGCCACCAAGACATTTTGCCTTGAAAAAGAGCAATTTGACAGCATAACAATGATGCAAACTCATATCGTAGGTACAAGTTCACTGCATGGCTTAAAAATCCTTTTCCCCGAGCACTGCTTAGTAGAGAAGTAAAAAGCACAATGGCCATCGATATAACATTTGGTGATTGCGATATTATCGATAGCCACTGGCTATGACTTTGACCAAAATCAATGCCTCCCCTTCGAATATAGATATTCATAGTGTCCTGCAAAGTACAAAAATCAAATGGAGTCACCTCTACTGAAAGCAGTTTGTTCCTTTACAGGTGCAATTCATAAACAACAGTTAAATAGAAACTTACATTATTCTTTGAGCAAGCAACAACAGGTGGCCTAATTGATCCAGCGAGCACCCGTTGAAGTTCCAAAGGCATACAAGGTTCTTGCTAAAGCAATCAATGAAAGAAAAGTTAGAAAAGAAAAGGCAAAAAAAGGTATTTTCGAAGCCCCAATGATGGTGCTCTTTCACGGACTAATATGTAATATGTTGAGTAATAATTAATTTGAATTGCAATCCTTCTGTTGCTTATGTGGCATTATCTTACCTCAATTACTTCTTGCCAAGAAAATTTTAGAGATACAGTGCATGGTGGACATTCCCTGACAATTATCTAATAACAATAGTTTTGTCTACCATAGAATGTAAACTAACTGGCAATTTCAGCCGGTTCAGTTTTTAATATTATGTTTGGTTAAGTCAGTTTAGAGGAAAAAAGCCGACCGAATAAACCGATTACTCTCCCCTAATCAGCATGCACAATTCATTCGGATTTTAAAGATTAAATATACCTTTGGTTTTTCCGGGAATCGAGGAGTTCCTATGTTTTCTGAAAATCTCTCATCAGCCAACTGCTTTAAAGTTTTCTGCACTTCATTTGGCTGAAGATTTGAATTTTGTAATTGTTTTACGTGTATAACATCTTTACCTCCCATTTTAGCCCCAACAACAACATGAGTACCATATTTTTCAATGAACCTGGGAAAAAAACAAAATTGGTATCGATTTAGCAAAGAATATCAATATGAACACCCACAGTTGACGCCGGTGAGAGCACTAAAGTTGTAAGTGCAATTGCTTTGCACAAGCTCTTTTATAATTGACTTACTCAGCAATGGCAGCAGGTTCCCATGCAGGGTTTTAAACAGTGTTCGTGGTCA